CAATCAGCAATTCACACCTCCTGTCATGGGTGATTACATAATGAAACTCACATTACGGTACTGCACAGGTGCCCACTTTCAATTACAGGTGATTAGGTAAATTACTTTGATCACTTGACAGTCTGAATAGGGGTTAAAAGCTGAAATACTTTGATAATGTCCAAGCTATCTGTTGTCTTATAGCGTTCTAAAAATAAATCACGAAAGTGAAAGTAGCATTAACATTGACCTTTAATACTTATTATACATTGTTGACGTTTTTTCTGAAAAATGAAGGAATTTAATATCTAAATAGCACAGAAACACGTATAAAAATTTTCAATTATTTTCTCCTTAATTAGGATTTTTGACACTCTGAAAGGAATTTTAAAAGATTACAGATAATATGTAATTTGTGTTCCATTTCATTTCAGAAGTTAAAAAATTAATTTAATTATCTGCCACCAACCTGATAAATATGAAAAAAAAAACAAGCAATATAACCTACAAATACTGAATCTATTTAATACATTTGCCAGAAACATGCATATACTCATTTAGCTATAGTACATGTAGATCTACATGTACTGCAATAATAATTGAGACACCAGTTAGTTTATATGAATTATGGTGCTATTATTGAATATAGGAATCAAGAATAGAAGATGATTTAAAAAGAGAAAAAAAAGTAACATTTAATTATCCTAAGATGATCTTTAAAATTCTTTTTTATATGTTTACATATTAGCTATAAATTAGTATTTGTTTATGTATCTTTCAAATCAATAAGGTTAAATAAATTAATAATATTTGAAGGAGTTCAGTAACAAGGTAAAATAAATTCATAATATTTGCAGGAGTTTATTATAACGAGGGTGAAGTAATGAGATACGACTATGTAACAAAAGCTCGCGACAACGGTAAGTGCCCTTCTCTTGCACCCCTCCATTTTCACATCCTAGCTGGAACACTGACATATTCATTTAATAATGACCTACAGTTCAGGAACAGTTTGTCCAATGGCAGTTTGTTCAACCTCCAGGATGGTTCAAACTTTTTGATACGTATTGTCTGGCCAAATAGAAATTGACCCAAATGATATCAATGCAATCCTATTTATTTGTTTTAATATACTGATAATTAGGGATGATCCTAACCTTAATCAGGTCTGGCACAATCTCCTAATTTAGCTATATAGCTTTATTTAGCTATATAGCTTTATTTGGCTAAATAGCTTTATTAAGCTATTCAGAATAGCTTGATTCAACTATTTTATCAGTTTTTTCTTAAATGTGTTATTTTTTCAGCATGTACCAAAAGTCGCACCTTGGTGCAGTGATAATATTCAACCTTGAACTCTTCTGAAAACAATGCATGTAAAAATCACTCATCAAACTGCGTCTCCTTGAGACTTTGTACTCAAAGTTCTAAAAGTTTTGCGGCTATATAAAGCAATTAATTTGTGACCATACTGTTACTTTTTGATTGAAATTATAAAGGAGGTTAGTTATGCTCAACAAGATAATTGATTCGTAATAATTCAGCACAATGAAAAGCAATCAAATTATCCTGGCCTCACCGCACACAAGATAGCGTACAGTTACTCAATGGAAATTCATCTCTTGCTTGAAAGTACTCAAAAGCTGCAATGTTAGAACTATCTTTTATTTGGGTTGCTTTTTTGATAGCTCATAGTACATATATGAATAGTCACATACTTGCGACTTTTTGTCTATTTCTTACAAAAAAAACATTTTTGTGAAAAATTACATATAAATAGCTTTATCAAGCTATTTTGAATAGCTTGATAAAGCTATACAACTATTTCAAGCTACATAGCTAAATCAAGAGATTGTGCTGGACCTGTTAATAAGCCAATCTCAGAATTTGGGCTGCTGTGTCAAAATGTTTGGGAAATTGGGGGTATTAAGTCTTCGTAAATTAACAATTTTGCATAGTAATTAATGCAAAATTGTTAATTTATGACGTATTCATTTTTTGCCAAAATTTTGTTTTATTCATCATCAGTGTGACTGTAGCAAGAAATCTGGTACTCACCATGTTTCGCCATTTGGCCATTTAGCCACAAAATGCAAGTAATGCAAAAAGTAGGTAAAAATAGCTACTTTGGGTAGGTTTAAATAACTACGTAGCTATGAATAGCTACGTAAGTAGAAATAGTCTTTGGACTGGACCTGTTAAATAAAGCACCAGAGCAGAAATCGCTAAAAATGTGTGGCATTCTTGATGCTTCACTCGCAAACCTCACAGGTTATTGTTTACATTGCTTTATGGATAAAACTGCTGACTCCTGTGACTCACCACAAGATATGGTAAATAATCTGTTTAAAACTTGTATCTTTTCTGAACATATTCATTCTAGTTTCAAGACTTAATGTTTACCTCTCTTGGAGTTTTGAAGCCTAGACCAACATTTCTGAAGTATCTGTTATTCTTCTTCCCTTTGGCAGAGAGCAAATTCTTTTTGTTGTTTAGAAATACAGTTGGCTGCTTCTGAAAGGATCTCTCGGTCTGAAGAAGAACATCAAGTAAAGTAAACTACATTCATTTCCATTAATCAATGCGATTCCTAACTATAGGCCTACAGAATATTAACTTTGTGTTCAGCGCAACTCAGTTCATCATTTACAGTGCAGTGTGAGATTACGATGAAACCATCACTGTTATTTAGACTCTGGGTACTCTGTATCAATGAATCAGTACTCTAAAGAACAAAAAACATTTATGGGCAATGTTCTGTTCTATTTAAGTGGCTGTTTAGATGTATATTTTATTGAAATATCGGCAAAACTGTCTCGACACGTGCTGTCGTACCTGCTCCGCCATGATTGGCCGCAAGAAAAGACCGGAACTTTATTGACGTCAGGTAAATTGCATTCTGGGATAGGAAGCATACATAGAAGATTCGGATTTACTAGAATTCCATTTACAGACGAATGCTAAAATCATTTTATTTTAAAATGCTTTAATTTTTTGTTATTATTACTGGAATTTTTAAAATTTCCAAAATATATATGAAATTCCTGAAATATGAAATGGCGTATCAACCTTTGTTCCAATCATTCCGTTCATTTTTTTAAAATTAAAATTTGAAATGATCTTCAGCGTATACATACATAATTTACATGTGAGTTAATTTATTATTCCCGAGCTATGTATGTATTTTTTTCAGTTCACGGTGTACTCAAGTATACGCGGGTATCAACATACTTTTATTAATTTTAGTAACAATTAAAAAGGTTACCTTTTTTAATTTTATACAGCATCACCAACACAAATCTGTAATATGTCAAACGGTAAGTTTTAAACAATACACTAGTCTGGTCATGGCCGTAGGAAGTCCGAACCCCGATAATTTTGTCGATATACAGTAAACTATTGAAAACAAAGATTCTTTATGGATACACCCCGTCAATAATTACTGCTGATGACCTCGACCTCTCCCTCTCTCTCTCTCTCGAGCCCCCTTCAAACTGAAAATGCTTCCTAAACTCAGTGCTGGAGATTAACTCCATTGACGTACGATATTCAGGCACGTAGCCTGCCCCCCCCCCCAACTTTTTTCCAAACACAACTTTTTACTATTGAAAATGTTCATGAAAGGGTGTTTGCCCCCCCCCCCCCACTTTTTGTTGCAGCATAGTCAAATAAGGGTAATGTAGTAGTGTATATATAAAATTTGGTACTGAAAGAAGTTGGAACCTAACCCCCACCCCCACCCCCCACCCCACCCCACGAAATAGGATTTTCGAGTTTGGACATTTTTTTTTTTTTGCTTGTCAAGTTTTTTTCAAGTAAGTGGTAACTTTTTTTCTCTGGCTGCCCCCCCCCCCCCCACTTTCAAAAACGATGCTACGTCCCTGATATTAGCTATATAACCTAAAATTTACTACAGAAGAAACAGTCAAATCTGTCCAGCTAATACCACAATTTATGGGAAGCAACCCCATTTTTAGATTTTTTTAACATCCCTCAATGTCAAATTTTTCCCATGCGATTGCTACAAAGCAGTAGAGCATTTGAATATTTTAAACTAGGTGCTCAGAACCAATGACCTCTTAAAATTACTGTAATTTCCGCCTCAATATTAAAAATTTTAAGATAACAGTGAACGACAGTTTGCATGCATACTTAAAGCACAGTGATGTCATTGCCATCATAAAGCCCACTCCAGTTTTACCATTTTGAGTTGAGACCACCTCTCCCCATTTCCACCTTGAAGCACTGTCTTCCTAGGTTTTTGTTAAAGAAAATGACTTTGTTTAAATCGAGTCTTAATTTACCAATTTTATTATTAAAAAGCAATCTACCATAACTGAAAAATTAAATTATACTGATTGAACATTTCATTATATAATATTTAAATTGAATTCCAACTTTTTTTTTTCGATGAGATTTGCGCACAGATGCATCGACGACGAAAGTGTGTGTATTTTCAACTATATGTAAATATGATATTTAACATACCTGTTCTGCTAAAATGCACTTAAGCATACGTATGCAGGTTTGTAGCTACAGTTTCAAAAGGGGAAGGGCAACTTCCCAAAAAAGTCTGAAAAAACCTAAATTAACCAAAACTTGGGGGAGGGCAACTTTGAAAAATAATCTGACAAGGAAAAAAATACTTGTCAAAATCGTGAAATTTACCAGTGCTAGATCTCACAACAACAAAAAGTGGTGGGGGGTTAGCATCTAAAGAAAAATTTACTACAGCAAAATACTTCACTCAGAAAAGTACGGGCCTTGTATGTCCCAGTAATACATTTTTTTGAATATCACACTGTACATAATTTTTGGGGCATCACCTGAAAGTTTAGTTAAAAATAATTTCAGATACTTTTAAAAGTATTCCATCGAAAGAAGCCCTCTGTGCCTGATTTTTTTTAAAAACTTTTATTTTAAAATAGCTATTGTTCTCCATTGGTTTTCTTTCTCTCTCTTCGTACGAGCTATCTAGTCAATCAGAAATGACTCACTGCGCATTTACACCCGTTTATTTCCGGTGTTGTTTGAACTATGTGAAGTAGGAAGCGATCCAAGAAAAAATGTCAAATAACATCATTGTATCTTTATTTGTTCTCATCTCACTGTATCACTCATGTAAGTATAGCTAGATGAATTCTTAAATTCACAATCGATCAACAGTTTTCTAAGAAAAGACTGCTTATCTTAAGACATTAGAAAAAAAGTAGCGCTGCCAGTGTCTATTTATTTTATCCCGAAAATGATGATGATTTTCCCGAAATCTGTAGGACGTAGAGTAAGTTTTAAAATATTGGTGAAAAAAGTTTACTTGGTCATAAATCATGTATTAGGTCCAGCACAATCTCTTGATTAAGCTGTATTATAGTACTACATAGATTGAATCACATGAGCTTGCTCCCGGAGTGTAAAAAATTGTTTATTAAAAAATCACATACCAACTACTAAAACTACACAAGCGAGGATGCCATTTTGGACCTCTTCCATGCTTCATCCTCAGTAATAATTATCCTAAAACATGGTGCTTGAATAATCCCTTGGAGCCTTTACAGGGGTGTGCAATTACAAAAATTAGTTACTAGCCCGTCGGGCTATTGGCAGAAACAAAGTTACTAGCCTGAGGTCGCCAGTCACTAGCCCATTAACTAACAAAAAGAATACATGCGTAAGTATAACAAAAAGGTAAAAAAAAAATTAAAGTTGAAATAAATAAAACAAATAATGGTTTGCGCTTTGTTATTGTCAGGTACTTTTCCCTATTTTTATCGACTGTTATTGTCACTGAAACGACTGGCGATAGCAACACACAGTAGATATAGGTTAAAACGATTAAAGATTATGATTTTACAACAAATTTAATTTGTACATCAATTCAGTTGACGTAAATATAAATTTACTTTCATTTTAGAGTTACTAGCCCAACGGGCTAACGCAGTATAGATTTATCATAGCCCGACCTCTAAAATTGATAGCCCCGGGCGTCGGGCGATGGTAATTGCACACCCCTGCTTTAAAATACATATTTTAGACGAAAAATTATCCAAACATCTGTTAAGGACATAAAGTGAAAGTAACCTCAGAGTTTTACATTCTATTAGGGAATTAGAATGTGTTTCTTCCAGATTCATAGTTATCAGTTAGTTTTATCACTATATAATACTCTGAGGTTTCTAACTGTATTTTTGTGACAGATGTCCTAAAGAGCCCCTTTGGATTATTTTTAGAGCTTCATATCACATTGTTTATATTTTTGTCTGTCTGTCTGTATATCATCATCACAATGTGAGGGGTTCTGAGTCCACTTGTGGCCGTAAGACCCCTGACATACTTCATTCTATTTTTTCCAGACTGATTGCAGCAACATCTTTTTAGGAAATGAAAATAAAATTCTGTTTTTTTTAATTATTTCTCGCCCAATCACAATAAGACAAAAACCTGTAGCACATGCACTGAGATGTCAATTGCCCGTTTTCTCTTTACTTTCCATGTCAACTAAATTAGAGAAACAGCCCTTCCCCCCTCCAATTTCCAAAACAACACACACACACAAAATTTGAAAGTTCGTCAGGAGTCCCATGACCACAAGTGGACTCATGGAATCCCATGACCACAAGTGGACTCATGATCTCTGATGTGAGGATTCTGTGTATTTCTATTGTGACACAAAAGTCGAAGTTTACAATATCAAATTTTATACTAAAGGGAAAGACACCTTTTAGTTTTCTGGTCTGTCTGTCTGTTAACACTTATGTTGTGATGCAATAACTCAAACAGTTGTAATGGTAGCATATATTTGACAATTTTTACAGAAATACTTTACAATAAGAATTTAAGGGGTCATGTAGCTTAGTGCCATGGGTGGATGTATATATATCTATGCTACCCCTGTATTATTTTTTCAGGCACTGCTATCGTGTCACCGTTGTGTCAGTATAGATATATATTACCCCTGACTTTTTTTTTAGGCACTGCTATCATGTGTCACCGTTGTGTCAGTGCTATGGGTGGGTGCGGAGATGATCTCGATTGGAGAATGTTTCCATGGAGAGACTGCGGCGATTCAGAGTTCTGTGTTAAAATTATCAAAAAAGTTGGAAGTGAGTTTTATTTTGAAAGGAAAAGATATAAAGAATTATAAAATACAACACTTAGGTCCTAAGGGAGAGAAAAATTGAAATTTTTAGTTGAATAGAATTTTTCAATTTTCGTAGTTGCATATCATTAGATTTTAGAGAAAATTTAACAGTAAATGCAACTACTCTATTTTTGTGTGTTGTAAGAGTTAACACTTGAGAAGAATGTAAAATAATTTACATGTAGTAACATGCAATATAAACCAATATCAATATGTTTTCATTTTCAACACAATATAATATTTACAGGTGAGCATAACATAGTCAGGGACTGCGAAAGTAGCTTAATGAGATCAACAAATCATCGCCTCAAGATGCCAAACTTACGACGTCACGGCTATTGTTTACCAGCCAGGAAGAATGATGCCAGTAACCCCATGGACACAGAGGATGAAAATGTGATGTACTGCTTCTGTAATGACTGGAATGGTTGTAATTCAGCCTCAGGGTTGTTCTCCAAAATCCCCGTCATCTCTCTAATATCAGCCTTCATCTCATTCACTGTCCTCAAAGTACTGTGATCATTAACCAGTTTTTTAAACATTTTACTCCACTTTCTATCAAAATTAAGAGCTAAATTGAAACTTTTTAAGATACAAATAGATTTTTCAAATTTGAATGAAGTTTAAGTAAATAATTCTTGTAAAAATTGATGTGCCATATAACATGTAATGTACTTCTGACTTTTTGGAGTTTCTGTAACATAATGCTGTACATTTGACTTTATTGATTCCTCCACCAACTTTCTGAATTGTTAGATACTATTTAAAACAGTGGATATTAAATATTTTTATACCGATCGATATATTCAGTATAGATTGTATTAATCATGTATGTATGTGGTTACTGTAATTAGTATGTCATTTATATGCAGCAATAGTCATCATTTTTTGTACAGACATGTCATTTCTTGGTATTGTTTTGTATCGCATTATGTAAATAACTCATCACATTCAATTTACAATACACCATAAAACATATGCATGTGATATACTGGATTTTACAGTGATGAATCATTTAAGAACATTTTTTTCTGTAGATACATATCAGATAGTGATTTTATTTCATTGTTATGTCTTACGGTATGTTCAGCAGCTGTTAGTTTTCTGTCTTCGTACATTTCTACTACTGGTAACATACCTATACATATCATAACAACGGTATGTGGTAAACTCCAATCTTAGCTTTGTAGGAGTTATCTGCCCTTGTTGGAGGCGTCTAACTTGGATTGTTATTTTAGAGGAGAACATGTTTTTTAATAATTTTTTTTTTTTTTTAATGATGAAGGTTGTGATACTTGAAAATACATTCCATATTTAATATTGAGGGAAAATTGTTTTCTCTTGAATTCAGGGCAAATTTTGAAAGGTTGATTCCACTAGATTTTTTTTAATAACTTTTTTATCTCTATGTTGCATTTGAATAAAGCATCATTATTTAAAAAAAATACCCTAGGTATTATATAACATGTCTTACAGACATGAGTATGCTTCTCCAGTATAGGTACACTCCAGGTACTTGTGTATTAAGGTTTTTATCAATGATTTTATGATTTACAACAATGCATTGTCAGAAGTTGTACTGGATCAATCCTGGTTTATTTCTTACTTATATCTATATATACATATCAGAAATTTGTACCATACATACTTAACAACAATGTTTTTGCTACAAAAATATAAACCAAATTTTTATTGGAAATTCTTTATTCTAGAAGTAAAATAATGATTTCTTACTGCTTGTATTTATCCTTAAAAAGAAGAATGTGTAGTTGTTTTCTAAATTACCTTTAGCCTGAATTTAAAAGAACATATTTATGAAGTACTTGTAACCAATAAAAATGTGAAATAGAATCTGGCAAAAATTGGAGTGCATGCACAAATTTGAACAGAATAAGCTTCTTTAAATTGCAGTTTTTTTGGTGTCGATGGAATGGACAGGAAATGTTAGAAATTCTAAAGTCAGTTGCCAGAGGTCCTGAGTCAACTTGTTGCCGTCCCACGGCAAAGTGTTGACTCGGAACCCCTGGCATTGGAAGGATGAAGTCAGTTGTGCACATGCAACATCAAGAAAGAATAGTGAATATTTCTCGAGATCTTGAGAATGTATTTTGCCATTGTCTGACAATAATAAACATAGCAGTAAGTGCTGGGTAACAACTTCATAATCACATTGTTGTGTCCTTATTGCATATGGCTAATATTTGAATATTGGGGAGGGTTTAGAATCCAGAATGGGGGAAGGTGTTAAAGAAGTATTTAATTAGTTCCAGTAATGTATGCCTATCTACATGTATATGTGAGGATAAGGTAACTCCCATATGTGGATCCGGAAGAATTATCACTATCGTTATCACTTGCTTCAAAGGTCGGTAATCACCCCCCCCCCCCCCTCTCTCTCTCTCTCTCTCACACTAAATACTAGTATATGGATACTTATTTAAAATTCTTTAATTACACCAGAAGCTTTTTTACATAGTTACCAACGTACGCGCAGATTATACGCGTTATAAATATACAACGTAAGCAATAACTGATAGTAAGCTGGCATTCTTTAACAACAGACATTGCAAGATAATAATGACATTATTTTAGTCTACGATGTAACTGGACTACTAGGACGTGCTACTCCTGAACGGTCCGTGTCCGGCATATCTACTTCATATAGTTTCTCGTTCAGTAAATCAGAGGCTCTTTTGTTCATTTTCAACTGCTTCCTAAGTTTTTTCAACTCTTGTTCAACCCTTTTGTCTTTTTCCAAGCAAACTTTTACCCTATTCTGACTTTTCAGAGACTTTCTTGTGGCTGTATTTTTTGAGCTTCTTTTACAAATGTTTTGTGGAAAGTTTTGTATGATAGAGTTTACATTGGTGTAGCCTTTGTTGACGATTTTAGACTTGAGGGCCAGGCGAATGATATCTATTGGGACGTCTGAGCGATATCTGTACTCCTTCTTTGGAAGCTCGGTGGGCATGTGCACATGTTGATGATAAAGCGGTTTGACTTCAACTTTATCTCCAAACATACAAATTGGTAATTCCATCTTCTGCTGAGAAGTTTTAGTGAACGTGTTTGGGACTTGGGATTCTATTGATTCCTTTTCTGGGAATTGTTTATCCTTTGTATCTCTTTCGATGTTAGTACTATCGCCTGTTAGGGCTGCAGTAGGACCATCGTTTGCATCAATTTCAGAATTGCGCGGCGTTTTCTGCAGAAGGTCCACCAGATACTCTTTACGACCGCTACTGGGTTCAGAATCAGATAATATATCGAGAGCAGTTAGGTCAAGAGGTGGTACCTTTATCGGACCCACATTCTTGTGGCACCAGTTCAATAATGGTTTAGTTTTTCTTGCCTCTTTAACAGGCAGAGGCTTCAAAATGTCCATTACTGGAGAAATAAAGCTCTTTGGCTCTGGCTTTTTTCCATTATCTATGACAACTTTATTTAGAGCACCAGTCCTGATGTTTTCACCCCATTGTGATCTTGGGTCACCATCAGGATTTTTGATGACAGCGGTACATTTGAGAGGAGGCAGTTTGGGTTGAGTTGGTCTCCTTTTCTCAATAACAGCAGCAGGAATGACAGGTAGAGTAATGAGATGTGATCGAGCATTATGACCATACAGATCCTCTCCAAGATCCAATGATGTTGTATCTTCTTCGTTAGAATTCCCTGTATATGTTTCGAGTTCCAACCCGTATTCACACTCTGCTCTTGGTAAGGGTTTGAATTTAGAATAAGCGGAGTCGTACAGATGAGGTAATTTATGACTTCCATGAACGCGGTAGTAACACTCTTGGCTACCGTCAATGCTTTGAGGATCAAACCAAACCTTTCTGTTCGTTTTGTTGACTATCTGATGGTTTCCAGAGGGTTTTTGTTGGCCCTTTTGTTTATGAGACTGAAGATCAGGAAACCATCCACAAAAATCATCACTACCAATGCCGGAAATGCGTTGCATTGTGTCATTTGGTATCGGTGGAAGCTCTACCAGAACATCTCTAATATGTTGAGTTATCTGACTTGCATCATTTTCCTTTAGAACACCTCTGCACCTTTCTAGCTTAAATTTTTGCTTTAAGTATTTCGGATCTGGCAACGTTTCATTCTGTCCAAATGTACGAGCACTGCTCTCCATTCCATTACAGTTTTCTTCTTTAACTACTGTGTTTTCTCTCCATCGCATTTGCTTGGCGTTTGTTGACTTATTTCGCTGGTCACCAGAATTTGAACAACTTGGCGAATTTCTTGGAACTAGGTTCATTTTTACACAAACTGAGTGTGCTCTCATTTTGCTGGTAATGTCAGACTGGTATCTTAACGAGCGCAGACTATCATCTGTTTTCGACGCTTCCTTAGAACTGACCGGACTATTAGGTCTAGGTACACTGTCTGTAGTGTCCATGCTGTCTGATCTTGCTACCATACACTCATTCTCTTTGCATTTATTGCATATTATAGGATTTTTGTACAATGGATTTTGGGGCATTCTGAAAGAAGGAAGAGACTCACGTTCATTGCAACCTCCCAAACATCTTGATTGTATGTCATCGGCCAGGAAAGTTGCGTCCAGTGCCTTTAGGAGACTTATGACGTCCTCGAATTTACCCTTTTTTGAACTGGCGCCATTCGATCTACTTTCAGGGCGTGATGCAGCTATTTCCTCAGTGGATTCTACATGAGCAAGGTTAAAGGACGAACAAACAGACTTTTCTTTTCCACGGAATTCATCTTCTCGAGTACCGAACTCGTCTGGTGGCAGTTTTTCTGATATTTCGTCCAATGCATTGTTTATTTTCTTTACAGCAACAAATGCTTCCGTCAACTTTTGATTAAGTTGCTGGGTTTCGTTGTATTTTTCTCTTAAACTGTGATCCAGTGTCATTTTACAAGCAGTGTTGGAACTAAAAACGATCCATTTCATCCAATTCTGACATATAAAAATTATACATATATCTCATGTTGTGGGAGGCGAAAGTAATTCTAAGCAGCGTTTTGACTGATTGTTATGTCAGTCACATTTCATTCTATTTATTGTTACGTCACATTTCATTCTAATTATTGTGACGTCGGATTTCTGTCACGTAAAGTAACAATCAAAATCTTGCCGATGCTGTGAATAGAGAGTAGCGGTTCAGAAACCCTTGGCTAGCAAAGAATGTAAAAACCACATCATCAACATATAAATGTAAATAAAAGACAAAATAACTTGGTACTTAAAAAAAAACTAACAATTTTTATTTTGATTCTTGAAAATAATTTTATATTATGTTATTTCTTCTGCTTGAATATCACATAAAAACTAAAGTTTACAAGGCATTTCATTTTTTTTTTTTTTTTTTTTTTTTTTTTGGTTTGTTTTGTTTGTTTTTTGAGAATGACATCAAAATTACGGAGTGTTCCCGTTTTACACACATTTGATAATTAGATACAATATTCAAATGTGTGCAAAACGGGAACAAACCAAAAATACTAATCGTTAGTCGCCTGTGAAAAAACATATATGTGATCCGAAGATAGGTTTCATGGAAAGAATATCAGATAAACAAACAAAAGATCCCACAATTCCTGATATTCCATTGAAAGGAACAAATGCACGTACCATGTGTGCTTAATTTCAAACAAAACTCAACCTTCACCAGCAATGAGCTTCGCCAAAGCAAGTGGTCGAAAAATGGAACAAAATGCCAAACATACTGTTCTCTGTGAATGTGTGAGCATCTTATCTTTGTTTGGACGTAATATGATCATGAAAGGATGATTACAATTACCTGCCCTTGGTTGAACATAAGATATGCATGAGAGGTGGAGCTAACATTGTAAGAATGGGTCTAAAATTAGACTTAATAAATAACGATGACTTGTTTGAAAAAAAGAACGTGATCACTCTTTCCAATCTCCTTCTCCATTCTGTATGGGCACAAATACACTACTGACAAAGGTTTCAAAATGAAATTAACCATAGAAGCACGTCAATGTAATTAAAGCAGATTTTATATCAATGCCAGATGACTTAATGTGTTCGAACACAATGTCCTAGTTAGCACAAAACATGCTACCTTACAAGTCACGTGACGGAATTTAGTATTCACAAAGTTACCTGAGGTACGAAATCACGTGGTGAATTATAATATTCAACATGTCACAACCCTTGGTTACAACACAGAGAGCGATTGTAAGAAGAAGCAGTTTTTTATCTTTTTTACCATGAGCGCATGTTTGTCTATTAATCTCCTTTTGACACATTATTATTTATGCAAATATACAACTACTGTGAAACGAAGAACAATAGACAAACATGCGGTGACTATGTATGAAGTCAGTAAAAAAGTGGGCGTCCTCATTATCGAACGGAGATTCAAGAAATTGTGATGACCCATGCCTTTGAAAACAGATTCGAACTTCGTAAATACACACTTTTATTAAAGGGAATTACATAAAGTTGTAGATTGGATGTTGACCATTCTTGCAATGAAAAGAAAAATGCTTGTTTTGAAAGTTTATTTTGTCGCAAATTTCGCATGTCCTTAAGTACAGTCATCCTTCAAACTTAGACCAATGATTTTTTGGTTTATATAAATTTCTGTTTCTATGGCAATGGACCGAAAAGTTGAAAATTGATATTTTTAAGTATTTTAGCTATTTTGACTCCTGAGTGTGGTTTAATACAGGGACAAAAGTGTAAATGTTTTTTTTTTCTTTCTTTCTTTTTTTTTTTATCGAAATGTATAATAAAATTAACGGAACCAATTCGTTTAGTTGTATTTTGTAATATATAAATGTACTTTAGTGACACAAGTGAAAAGATGTTGGAAGTAAATTTGTTCGAGCACGCTTGCACGAAGACGAAATTATACGGAAGTAATCATTGTACGACTGCGCAATGTAATCTCGTGCGGCAAAAAAGGTCTCTGTCTGAGACTGTTAAAGCGATTTTATTGTGCTAGAAGGAATGAAATGAAAACGAAACACAAGGAACAAAATGCTGTTTGTGTGGATTTTATTGTTATCGCCCGTACTTGCTGGGTTAGAATGGCAGCTGGTCGCTAACGAAAGTAGTACGTCTCCTCCAAGACGAAGTGACCATGCGATGGGATTTGTTTCGTTGGGCAATTCAAGTTACCTGATTTTGTTTGCAGGACGATCGTATTCGAATCAACCCATGCACGATACGTGGATATTTGAAATGCAAGATAATACTGCAGGTAAGAAAGATAAATTCGATCTTAGTTTCCTTTCCACCATTACAACACTTAAGAGAACTAGTACACCAAATTCAATGTATTCATGCATATCAGTTTTTTTTTTTAAATAGGGGAGGGAGTTGGGGAGTGTTCACCTTCGAAAAGGGGCACAAATTCAGATAAAGGGTAGCCCTCTTTCAAAGCAAGAAAGCAAGTGTATCAATATATCTCGGCGATCGACAAAGAATTTATTTTCCTTTACTAAATTTCAGCTGATTAGCATTTTATTTCCAATAAAGCTAAAATCGTTTAGAAATTTTCTCAACTGTGCGTTACACATTGGCTAAAGCTATCAATTTCACCGCTCAACCTAGCAAACCTAACGCAAAAATTCTAGATACCAACCATTAGGTTTTCACGGACATGCTTACATTGTTTGAGCGTCTTCAAACATCGTTTTATATCTTTTTAAAAAATGTACTTTTCTTTTTCCGAATAAAATTTCAGTGGGAAAATGTCCCTGTGTCACTGCATGGATATTTTCCACGTATTGTATCACTTTCTGAATTAGGAGTTTGGAGAAACGTCACCAAGAGCATGCATCCCCCCGCTAGATTCAGTATGGTGTACGGGTCGAGTGATGGATATTTTTACATTGCCACCGGCGAGGGAATAAATCAACAGTATTTCAATGACTTTTGGAAATTTGACACAAGGCATGTAATAGACATTTACCACTGGTAAATGTACATTTGTATACATGTTGTTTGATTGGGGTTGTAAAAAATTGTTAAATTAAAATAGATTTTAAGGACATTGGCAAGGTTCCTGGTTATTGTATAGAATTTTTCGAGAACTTTTGAGTAGGTTTAAATGTACTAAATAGGCTATATTCTGGATCGTTTTACCTACCAATCCAGCATTCTTTTTTAGATTTTGTCAAATTAGTGTTTTTACAATTCTTAATGCATTTCCTATGTAAAATGTTGATAAAAGGGACCTACATAATTTTTTACCATAATATTTCTTCAAAACCCATTTATTTCATACAGTTTTTGTATTATATACATTATTGTAACTTCATTTCCTATGACTTCTAGATATTTTGGTTGAAAATGTATATATAGAAAAAAGACATGGATACACCGGCACCGATCATCATTTTTGAGTTGCGTCCCTTAACAGCTAAAATTGGTCAAGTGACTGGTTGATTGTTTTTATCATGTAATTGACTGAATTGATTGAAACACGTTGTCATAAAAATATTGGCATGGATTTATTTTTAACTTTTATTCGTAATTACTAAATGCTGATTCCTTCACACGACCGAAGAACTGTTCTCAGTCGGCATGGTCGACCTACCTTTCAGCATATGTCACATCTTTGCCCTTCCCAGCATACTGAGCATAACTATGGTAAATGACGACCTGTTTGCTCTTTGTCCCTGAATACAATGTACAACAAAGCCATTACTACTTTTCAATCTTGCTGTATAGATGATTCTACCCGTTGAAGGAAGTGCACGTGCTTTTGTTTACCTCTATAACATACGCTTTACTGGTTTTCACCGCTTAGAGAATTCTACACGGGAGATCACTCTCAATCACTATTTTACAAGTGAAAAAACCCATGTATTAAACCTTTTTTCTCCGGATAGTCATACTATGGAAAGCCATAGGGGACCCCAGGGTCAGGGTCTATATAATCTATAGTTTTAACCCTGGCCACCCATGATTTCTACCCTGGCCTTCCCATCTTTGAAGCCATAGGGGACCCCCAGGGTCAGGGTCTATATAATCTATAGTTTTAACCCTGGCCACCCATGATTTCTACCCTGGCCTTCCCATCTTTGAAGCCATAGGGGACCCCCAGGGTCAGGGTCTATATAATCTATAGTTTTAACCCTGGCCACCCATGATTTCTACCCTGGCCTTCCCATGTTTGCATCATGGACACCCCACGCTTTCTCATCATGGCCTAGCCGTATACAACCTGGCCGATCCATGTTTGCAGCATGGCCATCCCATCTAGTCATGTTTACCCCGACCATACACAGCCTAGCCCGGCCATGTACTACCCTGGCCTAGCCATGTTCGCACCATGCCTATCCCACGCTTCTAAACATGGCCTGGCCATCTTCACCCTGGCCATGTATATTATCATGCATCTTGCATTTATGGATAGCCCTGACTTGCCAATGTCCTTAAAACTGTCAGATTTTTCAAATAACGAGCAAGTTACAGCATTTACGACTAAAACAAAATTTAGAAATGATACAGAGGGCGTTCTGGTCTAAGATCGGATTGTAATACTCAAATTCTGATATCTTTATGTTTCTGCACTTTTAACATTTTTTAAAATACTTTCAGGACAAACGAATGGACAGAACTGGGCAGGACAGCGATGCACAAAGGGTATGATAAATTCATGTATAAGAATTAAAATAGAAAATTCTATCCCATCGGAAGCAAGTTTTAGCACGCTGTACCTATACACTGCTAGGAGACAGGTTAAATTACAGAGGTTGAGAGAGAGAGTTCAATCCCCGTTTGGGGCGGTAGTGGGTATCCACTATTGTGAATTTCTTTGTACTTTATATATATATATATATATATATATATATATATATATATATATATATATATATATATATATATATATATATATATATATATATATATATATATATATATATATAAATATATATATAAATATATATATATATATATATATATATATATATATATATATATATATATATATATATATATATATATATATATATATATATATATATATATATATGGGGGTGGGGGTGGGTGGGATGTATGTGTGTGTGTACGGGGTTTTTCCATGGTCTTAGTTCAGCTTAGACATGTAATATCCAATAAGTCTTTAATTTAGGTTAAATGTGACGAATCTGTTCCATCCCCAGTCTCGATATGGTGCTGCAGGTGGTATATTCCCGGGAGGATCCAAATTTTTCGTTCATCAGGGATTTTCTCACACCAGACACTTTGACACTCTTGTTTTTGACGTCAACACAATGGAATGGAATATTGGTAAATAACAATGCTTCATAACTTGTTCCTTATTTGTAAGAAGACTAAATTGAAAAAAAAATCCTGTTTTTTGAACTCTAATGAAACACAGCATTCCCAATTTTCGAAGAGTGAAACTCTATGGGCTCTTTTCTTTTAACAATCTATGTACTGTTAATATCCACGACCTTTCAGTCTCGAATATTTTTTCACAGCGCAAATTATTTCTAATTGTTTAATATCTATTCATAGAATTATATACATGTATTCTATATAAATTGTATATATTTTTATTCCATATAAGTCAATTGTCACGGATTGATTTCAAATTGATAAATGACGAATAAAAGTTTTGCGAGTAATATATGGTTTTTGTACAGGTACATCAAGTTTTACAAAAAAAAAACGCATTTTGTAATTACTGTAAAAGTGGTCAGGCATATTCACAAGAGGAAAAGTTTGACGATTTTTTTTATCTTAGGCCAAATAAAAAAATATGTGTGGTTCCGGTTACCCGACCTTCCCTATTTTATACCCCCTACCCTAAACTTTTTTTGGCAATTTTCATATTTTTTCCGGAATTTTCCCCGATTTCCATCAATGGCTGCAGTTTAAGCTTTAGTTTCAGCAATGATGGCCTCCTTGCAAAACATAGTGCAAGTGTTTAATAGTGTTAAATCCAAAGCAAGCTAGCATGTAGGTGTCCCCTACCAATATTGACTAGTATATTATCACACCACATCTAAATGCCATTTTCAAAGCAGTGATAGGTATTATTTAGAAAAAATTAAGAAAATCATTTTGTTAAAAAAAAAAAAATCCCTACCTACCTAACATAATTTTTTGGGAAGTGTAACCGGAACCACACATATTTTTTTGTTTGGCCTTAAAGCTTTAATTGACGTTCACTGTGCTACCTAACAAAAAGGAGTTATCTTTCTTTGCTTGCTTGACAAAAATAAGACTGCAAAATGCCCAAATAAATTAACAAGCTTCAATTTCCATGCCTTTTAGGATTAAAAAATTCTTACACTCTTGACTGTAAAGATTGTTCCTATCTTCTTTATTTTCCAGACTAGTTGACTTTAGGATTAAGAATTGTAGGATTAAGTAAGAATTATTCGTTTATTTTTCTTTTACAGTTAATCGTAGACATATTCCCATACTATATTTTACAGTTGACTGTAAGACAATTCCTACGCTCCTTATTTTACAGTCGATTTATTTAACAGTAAATTGACTATAAGGATTATTCTTACACTCTTTGTTTCACAGTAAACTTTAACGATTATTCCTATAATATACTCTTTATTTTACAACCGACTGTATGATAATTCCTACACTCTTAATTTTACAGTTTACTGTACAGCTATAATTCCTACGCTCTTTATTTTACAGTTTACTGGATAAGAATAATTTCTACACTCTTTATATTACAGTCGAGTGCAAATACGAGTCCTTTGTATACACTCTTTATTTTACAGTTGACTGTAAGGATTATTCATACATTCTTTTTTTTTTTAAAGTTGACTGTAAGGATAATTTCTACACTCTCTATTTTACAGTTTTCCATAAAGATAATTCCTACATTCTTTATTTTACAGTTGACTGGAAGGATTATTCGTACATTCTTTATTTTACAGTTGACAGTAAAGATTATTCGTACACTCTTTATTTTACAGTTGACCGTAAGGATAATTTCTATATTCTTTATTTTACAATTGACTGTAAAGATAATTCCTGCATTCTTTATTTTACAATTGACTGTAAGGATAATTTCTACACTCTTTATTTTACAGTTGACCTTAAAGATAATTTCTACATTCTTTATTTTACAGTTGACCGTAAGGATAATTCCTACACTCTTTATTTTACAGTTGACTGTAAGGATAATTCCTACATACTTTATTTTACAGTTGACTGTAAGGATAATTCCTACATTCTTTATTTTACAGTTGACTGTAAGGATAATTTCTACATACTTTATTTTACAGTTGACTGTAAGGATAATTCCTACATTCTTTATTTTACAGTTGACTGTAAGGATAATTTCTACATACTTTATTTTACAGTTGACTGTAAGGATAATTCCTACATTCTTTATTTTACAGTTGACTGTAAGGATAATTCCTACATTCTTTATTTTACAGTTGACTGTAAGGATAATTCCTACACTCATTATTTTACAGTTGACTGTAAGGATAATTCCTACATTCTTTATTTTACAGTTGACTGTAAGGATAATTCCTACATTCTTTATTTTACAGTTGACTGTAAGGATAATTCTTACACTCATTATTTTACAGTTAACTGTAAGGATAATTCCTACATACTTTGTTTTACAGTTGACTGTAAGGCAGGCCAGTGTAATTCCTACACCCCTTATTATCCTCACGCCAGATGTCTGCACGCAGGGACACTTCTAGATCCAAACAAACTGGTCATCTTTGGTGGTTGTTTATCGTATGTGTAATATTCCTACTTTTGATTTCTGTATCTATAATTATTTTGTATCATTAACATCCACCTCCAATATTTGTATATTTAGTGGAGGGGGAACGGGAGGCGAATGTCCGTCAGGGGACACGTGGATGTTTGATTCCCAGACACTGTCGTGGACAGAATATCCCAGTTGTCCAGTACCAAGGTCAGTTTATTAAAACATGTATATTTACTGTCATTAAGATCATTCCCATTTGTAGCATACAGTTTTTCTTGCTCTGAGATGTTAATCACCAGAGCACACAGGCCCGTAGCAACGGTTTCAAAGTGATGGGGGGGGGGGGGAACTTCCCAAAAAAATCTGACAAGCAAAACAAAATAAGGTAGTAAAGGTAACTTACTGTCCAAATCCTGCAATTTGCCAATGCTCGACCTTACAACATCAAAAAAAGGGGGGGGGGCTGCATCTAAAGGAAAATTTACTATAGCAAAATACTATACTCAGAAAAAATTGGAGGGGGGGGGGGGCGGGCCCCCCGCGTTCTACGGGCCTGGCACAGGAGTCGGAGAGTCTATCAGTTATAATAATACATATATTTTCGGTAAATAAAGAAATATGCAATACCTATAGGTAAACTAGTATTATATATACATTTATTTTAAATACACATCATGTTGTTTAGTAAACCGACGTCTGTGCTTCAGACCCCGAAAATAAAAGTATTTGCTTTGTCATCAGTTTACTCTTTTACGACTTTATGCCTGTTTGTTTAGCTTTACTGCTAGAACCCTAGAAAAGCATAAGAATTATTAATATTTATGACCTCTCAAAGAAAAAAAACCTAGGATTTTTATTGCTTGGGTTCGAACCCCAAGAATACCACTTTTTTCCTGTAAATCATGGAATGATTTTTCCGAAACAATTTTCTGCAGAAAAGTTTTGTTTGTCATCATTTCATACCTTTCAATTATAAGAACTTTTAGTTACTCTGTTGACTAAATTCACAAGTTGAATATGACATTTACACATTTGAAATTATAGTCATTTTGCACGCATTATTCGCCAGGGACGTAGCATCGTTTTTGAACAGGGGGGTTAGCCGGAGAGAAAACTTCTTTCAGTAACATAATTTTTTTTCATACTCTATACATTACCCTTATTTGAATATACTGCAACAAAAAGTGGGAGGGGGGGGGGGCATACGCCCTTTCAATGAACATTTTTTTCATTTTCAACCTTTCCAGTAATTTATATCCTAAAAAATCACATTTTGATTTTGTTCAGAAATGTCCTGCGCCCTACTTTGCAAGAATACTTTACCAAAATTGAAATATCAGTTACTGTAGTCAAAATGTACGTTTTTCCACAAGCTATATTCCTGTCAGCAAAGCCTTAGTCTCTTCAGTGACCTTTGGTAACCTTTGTGATGAGATGATAAATATAATAGTATGTACATTATACAATAAATTTATATAGAATTTATGGGAGTATGGCGATGTTGCCTTCCCGGAGGGGTCAGAATAGAGTGCTACTGTACGGAGGAATAGAAGACACACCTCAAGTTATACAGGTATTATCAAACAAAGTGAAAGCTTCATAAGGAAAACATTTTTTTTTTTTTGGCATTATTTTATTACTAGTATTTGCTTTGCATGGCGGACTAAGAGGGGCATATGGTTGAAGGGGGCACTTTTATTATAATTCGTAGGGTAACCTGTCCAGTAAAAAATGGGAACCGAAGTATCTAAGTCTTGTATTTTATACCAATGTCTCCCTAAGTTTTCTCTTTAAGAAATAAATCTTAATATCCAGAAATTTCCAGTCCTTCTCTTGAAACTGGAAAATAATAAATAAACTTGGAATAGAACAGGTGCTCCCAGAAGCAACAGGAAGCCACATTCCCAATATCTACAAGATTCCTACCCTAGAGCCTCCCTCCCCCAATTGGAGGGGCCGTGGATGCCCCCCCCCCCCCTTCAAGATTGAATGCATTTTGAATTAGATTTGTAGATATATGAATAGAGTACAGATATATGTTTTCAGACAACCAAATCCCCAGCTACTTTGGTGGGGTTGTTTGACCCGTCAACTCGAACGTGGTCTCTACATAAGACAAACGCCAAGGTAAGTCATATTTTAAGGCATTGAATGCAACTGGCTCTGTATTGCATAGATTACTGTGATCGATCTCTGGCAAAAAAACCTCAAAATATACAATGGTATCAAATATATACAGATATCTATATCAGTGATGCTACATTGGTCTTCATAATCAGATCGAGTTATAAAATTTCCCTTGTCTGTCTGTGTAGCTGTGTTACCAGCCTTTTTTTTCCAATGATACATTATGTAGATCATTAAATTCATGAATATGTTAAAAATACGTAAATATTACAAAAGAATATTCTTAATCAATGTCCATGTAGCAATCCTTTCCTGTGTCAAGAGCATCGGTCGCCATGGTGACAGGACACGACGGAATCTTTATGTTTGGAGGATATGACGTCAATAGGTAAATTATTTTAGTTCAAAGGTCGTTGTGAATATTAAAAAAGTATTAAATTTTGAATTGGTTTCTCAAAACTGTTTAAAAGAAATCCTAATCACAAATTTGCATACACTTCTCTGTTTTACTTGAAGTTTTACTTGAAGTCTTGAAGAAAACTAATTAAGATAAAAATTGTGAGATTTGGCGATCAGTTGAAAGAACATATCAGGCATGCACCATTTTCTTATGTACCTTTTATAGGGGATCTTTGCTGGGGGACCTGTGGTTTTTACGTGGTGACGCCTACACTGCTCAGAATACAGCTACAGTCAGTTGTTCCGGATCCTTCACTAACTTCATTCTGGCTCATGGCTGTCTTATGGTGATAGGGTGGGGGATCTTTACCGTGTGGGGAGCATTTATTGCTAGATATGCCAAATCATCAGGGAAGACTTGGTTTTATCTCCACATTATTTTACAAGTATGTTAATTACTTTAACTAATAAAGTTACTACTGTAAGAAAATAAAATCGTTTCTCCCGGCTCTTTCAATCCATTAACTCAGCTGTCTATACGTTTATACATATATCTGGTTTAAATTCTCATTTTATTTTTATTTCAAAGAATACATGTATGTAAGTTTTACTAAATACGAGACTCGACGCAAATCGTCCGATAGTTGACATATGTATAAATACCCGCCACAAAGTCGCACCTCGCTAGTGTTTCCGAGCAAATTGTAACGACTACGGATTAATGAAGCATCCAGATTATTGAAACATGCTTGATATTAAAAAAAATACAAATTTTTCCCCACAAATTTTGCCCGAAAGGTGAAGCGCCCGGATTTTTGATGTCCAGATTATTGATACTCTATTGTATAAGATTTGACTGTAAGCATGGTACCCAGTATTCAGGTTATCCTTTGTCTTGTTATAGGTTACTGGTCAGCTGTGTAGCATAGCCGGATTCATAATGGCAGTACTCTCTGTCCAGTCTCAACACTTTGGGTTTGCCCATGGAATCATTGGCCTGGTAGTAGTAATACTTGGCATTCTACAGCCAATCAATGCAGTTTTGTAAGTTCTTAGGTACAAGTCATATATATATATCCGATGTACGACTATTTTTTACATTTTCTTTAACTTAGACTTTTTTATGCCTTGAAATTTTTTTCAGTCGCCCCCTACTTCCGAAACCGTATTGTAGGAAATCATTCCGCCGCATTCTCTGGGAATTCATACATCATTTTGGTGGAACGTCGGGCATTTTACTGGCTCTTGCCAACATATCTCTGGGTGTGTTCGTGGCCAATACTCGCTCAGTGGCATGGGTTGTCTGGTTTGTTTACTTAGGTATCGTAGTTGTTGTCAATGTGGTATCTCACTTCGCCCAGGAATGTCTAGAAAATAGGAGAAAGCCAATGGAATTTCTTGAACTCATTCCTGGATCAGAGAAAAGCATTTATAACTACAAACCAAAGATGGCGGAGGGGAATGTATAATGCATGTATTTATCTTTATTTACTTCTTTGTTGATTTTTGTAATAAATATAACAGTACAAAAAGAATATTTTTATTTGTCTTGTCATTTTATTTTATTGTTGAAGCATGTTTACATTCACACTAATTAGAGCATATCTTATGCGAACAAAACTTATTTATAACATTTCAAACCAACTGAACGTCAATTGTATTTCCTTTTTATAATGAATTTATGGTGGTAGTATTACGAAGTAGAGATGTGTCAGATCTGTTTGAATGTCCACTTGACAAGGTGTCAAGCATTTTGTTAAGTATCTTTCCCAACTGACCCCGATCTTCATCTCCACGAATGATTCGGACCCCCAGCAGGAACACGAGGCATGTGATGGTGACAAGTAGGATTGCTAGGGCGAACAGAAGGGCGCGTGACTTTTGAGACGGTCCCTTGGAGAGGAGACGAGATAGGGCGACTATGGACAGAGAACTGGCTCGTCTCGTGGAAACCGAAGAAGAGGGTGTCCTTTTTCCATTTATAGAAGAGACTGTATCATCTTGTGGTGATGTATCGCCCTTTCTACACGTAAAGAACATGTCTGACAAAAGATAACACAAATCAAGCTATAGAATATATGCTCATCTTGAGTAATATGTATAATATTTTTGATTTTACAGATTGATTAATAAATATATGTAAAAATTGTATATTGATAATAAGAAGAGTGTTATATGTTCCCTGTTAAAGAAAAATTACCCTCTTCTAGCAGACACTTATGATCAAGGAGTAGGGACTCCAACCCCATTTTTTCTAATCATAATGTTTTACTGTAATGTTCTTTGAAAGGACGATTCCCCCCCCAACCCCCATCCTTTCCATATATAGCTCTAATGGTCAGAGGCCAGAAGAGCTTATGCGATAGTAAGGTGTCCGTCATCCGACCGTGTGTCTGTTTGAAAACAATTTTTATGCCCCCGGATCAAAAGATCCCGGGGGTATATTGTTTTTGTCCTGTATGTCTGTCTGTCTGTCTGTTTATCTGTTTGTACTTTACATATGTAATCCTTGTGACAACACCTTCCTTTGGATACCAACAACTTTGACCTTGACCTTGATGTTTTACTTACTTTTAAAAAACTTTAACCTTCGCCATAACTTTTGAACAGTTGCAGCTAGGGCTTTCAAATTAAACATTTTTTATCTTTTGGCCTGGATTTTGACTTGCATTTGAGAAACTTTAACCTTCGCCTAAGCTGCCATATACGGGGGCATCAGTGTTTCACAAACACATCTTGTTAATAAACTATTCTTCCTACAGTTTTGGTCAAATTTCAATAGAACTTGGAACACAAGTAGACTACACTAAGACACATAATTCTGTGTATCGGTTTTTGATTTTGATGAACTGTGTTTCCATGGTTACTAAAAATAGAAATTTCTGTGAAATTCTTTCAAAATGCTACTCCTCCTACAGTATAAATCCGGTTTCAGTATAACTTGGTACACAAGTAGACTACATTAAGATACACAATTCTGTGTATCGGGTTTGATTTTGTTGAAGTGTTGCCATGGCTACTAAAAATAGAATTCTATGTGAAATTTTTCCCAAATATTACTCCTTCTACAGTTTTTTATTTGAAGTATCCGAGGTCAGAGTACAATTTTTATACCCCCGGATCGAAAGATCCCGGGGGTATATTGTTTTTGTCCTGTCTGTCTGTTTGTCTGTTTATCTGTTTGTCTGTCTGTCTGTTGTCAACTTTAACCTTGCCCATAACTTTTGACTGGTTGGAGATATGCCTTTCACATTTCACACGTGTATTCCTTGTGACAAGACCTTTCTTTGGGTACCATCATATTTGACCTTTTGACCTTGACCTTGGAGTTTGACCCACTTTTGCAAAATTTTATGAGACTTTAACCTTGGCCATAACTTCTGAGCGGTTGGTGCTTGGGGTTTCAAACTTCACATGTGTATTCTTTGTGACAAGGCCTTCCTTTGGATACCAACAACTTTGACCTTTTGACCTTGACTTTGGAGTTTGGCCTACTTTTGAAAAACTTTAACCTTGGCAATAACTTTTGAACAGTTGGTGCTTGGGATTTCAAACTTCACATGTGTATATCTTGTGACAAGACCTTCCTCTGGATACCAACCACTTTGACCTTTTGACCTTGACCTAGGAGTTTGACCCACTTTTGAAAAACTTTAACCTTGGCCATTATTTTTGAATGGTTTGTGCTAGGGCTTTCATACTTCACATATGTAATCGTTGTGACAAGACCTTCCTTTGGATACCAACCACTTTGACCCTTTGACCTTGACATAGGAGTTTAACCTTCTTTCGAAAAACTTTAACCTTGCCCATAACTTTTGAATGGTTGGTGCTAGGGCTTTCATACTTTACATATGTAATCCTTGTGACAACACCTTCCTTTGGATACCAACAACTTTGACCTTGACCTTGATGTTTTACTTACTTTTAAAAAACTTTAACCTTCGCCATAACTTTTGAACAGTTGCAGCTAGGGCTTTCAAATTTAACATTTTTTATCTTTCGGCCTGGATTTTGACTTGCATTTGAGAAACTTTAACCTTCGCCATAAGCTGCCATACGGGGGCATCAGTGTTTCACAAACACATCTTGTTTTTTTATGTTTTCTATGTGAAATTTTTCCAAAATGTTACTCCTTCTACATTTTTTGTCCAATTGATGTGAAACTTGACTCGGAAATTAATAGACTAAATCAAGGATCATTATTTTATATTTATTGTTGTTGCCATAGTTTCAAGTCCAAGTAAACCTTTCTCTACTTTTGTTAGGTAAAAATCAGTAGAGCTACAGTTTCATCAGAGACTTCTGGTTAATTCCGCCCATGTTAATATATTCAAAAACCTTTTCTTGTCGGAACAACCCCCTCCCCCCGAAATACGATAAGTTGATGAATTTTGCCGCGTTTTGTATACTAAAGGTTGAGTCGATTTTGCTAGAAATTAGTTTTTCAGAAAAGGTGTCTACAGAATTTTATTTAAGTAAGCAGTAAGTTGTTTTTATACCTTGAAAAGGACTAACTGAATTTTGTATAGTTAGTCAAATTATCGTATTTACCGAACCTGCATGCAAGTACTGCTCATTAATTTACATGAGTATATTCATCATTCGAGTGATATTTCTTGTTGAATACTCTGACCTCGGATATGTATACATGTTACAGAAGTTTGAGGAGGGCCATGAGTGAGATACTTCACAAAATAAATGTATCCGAGCCGGAAACTCAAAGTACCAAAATGACAAGTTACTGACTCACAGATGCTTAACTTTTATAATCAACACTTATTGTACATATTCGTTCAAACTACATGCTCTTGTTTAATGCATGTATTTGGAAAAGATTACATTTTTATCGTTCATTGCATGTGATCGCCATTTACATTAAATTTGAACTTTAATCATAGAAACAGTGAATTTGACATGAATAATTTTTTTATTGATAGGAACTTCATATTATGAAGGTTACTCCAAAATTCAAACAATACATCTTACCTGCAAGTAGAGGTGTTGAAATGATGAGTCTGACCAATATTGTGTTTATACTAAATTCGGAAATGCTATGATGTTTACTTTAATTTGATATTTCAATAATGAAATCAAAACTTTTTTAGTTATTTCAAAAATGCAAACAAAGCAAACAAAAACAAAATTATGAACGTATAAAATATTTAAAAGAAATCAAAACATAATATGAGATGCCTGTCATATAGATTGCTGTGATGTTTACTGGCCAGTTTTGTCAACTGAAGCGGAAGAGACACGCGACAGGAGAAAAGGATTCACTCATCTTCTATACTTCTGATAATATAGGTATATTCATACCTCTTACTCAAAGATTAATCGGTTTATCGTAGTCTTGTCTATTGAAATGTACAGGATTTTACAATATCAGATAGTCGATTTAAAACCTTAAAAAAAAAATTAAAGAGGCCCATGGGTCGTAACAGTCACATGAGTAACACAAGGCAAGCTAAATTTTCTCGAGCACGTTATATCTCTTTTTTATAAGTTATAACACTACAATGTACTACTTCATAAAATATTACAGCACTAATGCATCAACATTTTGTTCGAATAGCAATGATACTAAATTGCATATAACAAATTTCAAATTTAAACTACTTGAGGAAAGGCAACTGAAGTTTTCATTATTATCATTTTTGTTTATTAATTTTTTTTTAACGTCTCCCTCTCCATTTTATGAAAGTCTGCGTATATTTTTTAAATATACAAGTTCAGTATCTTTTAAAAACGGTTGCTTTTACTTACCCTCTCCCAACACAGGATAAAAATATTGGGTAGGTAGGCTAGTAGGGGAAAATTATTTTCAGAATTTTCCACATCAATACTGAATTTTTAAAAATTATTATAATTGAACGCATTAATAAATTAAAGGGCAAACATACATTTTCATGCTCAGTCAAAGTTTGGCGACTCAGATCATTATCAAATAAACCTGAAATCACGTGCGTAACCGCACACATGATTATCAACGTGCACTAAAAACAGGGTATGTGAATAAAGTTCTATAGCTCAACATATGTCATTGGATACTTGCTAAATGCCTGCCAAATATCTCATTGATATATCTTAAGACAGAAAAAAGTTATGTTGCTAAAAATGTCAGGAGTGCAACGCCTATTTGTGACATTTTGAAGATTTCATATTTTTTGGAAGATCTGTTGAATAAATAATTATGATTCATATTAGAAATAAAGATTTTCTGATAAAATTCAATATATTAAGCTTTAAATTTAGACTATAGTAACTTTTGCTTGGTCAAGATACGGTCAGGGCTAATGCTGAAAAATTTTATACCATGTCAGGAGTGCAACAAAAATGATGATGCCAAAAAAAAAAAACAAGTCAAAAAAGAAAAAAAAATTCAAAGTGTAAAACAATAACTGATATATCATTTAATGGTTTACAATATTGTATGTATCACAAGCAGCATAAATGAGGCTCAAGTATCTGCGAATGCCCATTTATTTCAGGAGTGCAATTTATTTATACATTTATTGACTGGGTTCGAGGGCAA